CAGTCCATGGTGGACCGTTGTAAAGTTTACTAAAAAGTAATGTTATTAGAAATTTGACAATACCAAAAAAAAAAAAAGGGAGGCCTGAGTTTTGCTGTATCAGATTCAAAAATTTCTAAACGCTTATTCTTCATTTCTGTATTTAGCTTTTTGTGGACAGTTAACAAACAGCCTTGAACTGCTCCAGCTACAACTATCATTAGAACTGCTCTGGGGAAAGCATGCTGGTTTTGTTTTAAAGTTTTCAGAACACTTTCTACTTAAAATGCTTCATGTCTCCTAAGTTAAGTAAGAAATACCAGCTTGACATTTAAGGGAGTCTGCCACATGTCCTAAACTACATTCCCTTCCTCCATTCACTCATTCTTTCAGTTGATCATTTAATCATTCCATCCCTCCAAATACTGACCAAGTGCCCACTCTACACCAAGTCCACACCACGTGGCAGGATACAGCAGTGCACAGGACAGGTAAAGCCCATGGTATAGTGATCTCCCCATCAACACCTACATCCAAACCAAAGCAGCTCTCAAATTCTGCACCTTTGTCACCCACTGGATGTCTGAATCTCATTTCCCATAGCTCTGTTCATGTCAGCTACTCCATCTATGATTGGCTGTCATTTATCTGGCCCTGCCATGTTCCAGATACTATCATAGGCACCTTACATACAGTATTCCTAATTTTCCCCCAAACTCTACATGATCTTACCATCCTTCCTGCCACTGAACAATAACATGGAAAGTTCCCTGATATTACAATTAGATGCAACCTCTTTTTCTTCTAAAATGTATCTCTGGACTTTTTTCTTCTTCTTTATTTCTTTGTTTTTTCTTTTTGAGACAGGGTCTTGCTGTGTCGCTCAGGCTGGAGTGTAGTAGCGTGATCTCAGCTCACTGAAACCTCCGTCTCCCAGGCTCAAGCGATCCTCCCACCTCAGCCTCCCAAGTAGGTGGGACTACAGGCCCATGCCACCAACCTTGGCTAATTTTTTTTGTATTTTTCAGAGATGGGGTTTTGCCATTTGCTTAGGCTGGTCTCGAGCTCCTGAGCTCAAGCCATCTGCCTGCCTCCCAAAGTGCTGAGATTACAGGCATGAGACACTGCGCCCAGCCTCTGCACTTAAAAACAAAAAACCAAACTTTTTTAATGAAGTGCAACATATATTTAGAAAAGTAAACATATTTGTACATTTCAATGAATATTCAGAAACTCAACACACCAATGTAACCTGCACCTAGGTTAAAAAAATAGAACCCAACAGACAGCACCCTGAACCCCTGCTTGTGCCCTTCCCAGTCCCTACCCGTCCCTCCCTAAGAAGAGTCACTATCCTGCCAGGCACAGTGGCTCATGTCTGTAATCCCAGCACTTTGGGAGACCAAGGAAGGTGGATCACAAGGTCAGGAGTTTGACACTAGCCTGGCCAATATGATGAAACCCCGTTTCTACTAAAAACACAAAGTAGCCGGGTGTGGTGGTGCATGCCTGTAGTCCCAGCTACTCCAGCCTGGGTGACAGAGCGAGACTCCGTCTCAAAAAAAAAAAAAAAAAAAAAACAGAAGAGACACTACCCTGACCCCTACCTGTAGGGTTTAATTTTGCCTGTTTTCATTCATCTAACTAGAACCTAAAAGTATGTACTCTTGCAACTGGCTTAGTTTATTCAGTATTGTTGGTGAGATCGTATTGTTCATTCTCACTGTTGTATCCTATTCCATCCCGTGAATACATCAGTTTCTTCATACATTGTATTGCTGATGGGCATTTGGGTAGCTTCCAGTGCTGCCATGAACATTCCAGAACATGTCTTTTGGTAAACTTGTGGATGCACTCTTGCTGCATAGCCAGAAGCAGGACTGCAGGAACATGGGGTTTGCCTATGTCCAGTGTTAGTTGATACTCTGACCTCTTTAAAGGCACTTTTAGTATTCTACATTATGTTAATCATTATTTGTGAACTTACTTCATTTTCCTTACCAGAGTGTAAGTGATTATTTTAGTGAATACATATTATTTATGCCCTGCCTCATTTTAAAATAAGGGGTCTAACATGCAATATAAGATAGAAAACTGAAGTGAAAAGCAGGAAGGAAAATAAGGGCGGGAGGTAGGGTTTGGGGGATGAAGTGAATGTAAGGTAATGGCCAAGATACATTCCACAAGGTCTTCAACATTTTTTAAAAAGCTGGTCTGCAGGCTGGGTGCAGTGGCTCACACCTGTCATCCCAGCACTCTGGGAGGCCAAAACAACAGGCAGATGATTTGAACCCAAGTTTGATATCACCCTGGTCAACATGGTGAAGCCCTGTCTCTACGAAAAATTAAAAAAAAAAAAAATTACCCATGTGTGGTGGTGCAAGCCTGTAGTCCCAGCTCCTTGGAAGAATGAGGTGGGAGGATCACTTGGGCCTGGGAAGTCTAGGCTGCAGTGAGCCATTATTGAGCCACTGTACTCTAGCCTTGGTGACAGAGTAAGACCCTGTCTCAATAAATATAAATAAAAAGAAATAAAAATAAAAGCTAATCTATAAATGTGGTTGAGCTTCCTGACAGCCAGTACAAAGAGGGAACCAAGTTACACAATTAAATCTCACAAGAGAAAAGTCCCAAATGTTCAGCAATGTTGCTATTTCTGGTTCTGAGATTTAAAAATGTAAATTCAAGTATTGCTAAAGGGGATGTTATTTGACATTGAAAATGAAGATCCCGACTTCATTGCAGTAATAGCAGTAAGAAACTTTAGTTTCTCCCCTCCGCTTCTAACCACCCTGAATATGGACATGCCCAAGCACAGTTCATTACAAGTAACTCCTTAAAGGAATCAACACAATCCAGATACACAATTCTCAAAAGTCCTGACTAAAGAGGGAAAAAAAGTGGGTTCAAAGTGTGGTCCAGGGACCACTAGGGGTCTCTGAAACCTTTCCAGGGGGTATGGTCAAAACTATTTTTAGAAAACTACTAAAGCTTTTTTGCCCTTTTTACACTCGTCCTTTTGTGGATGTGTACAGAGGAGTTTTCCAGAGGCCACATGATGTGTGATAGAGCAACAGATTGAATGCAGAAGCAGACGTGAGAATCCAGTTATTCCTGTTAAGCCAGACATTAAGGAGATTTGCAAGTTATTTGTTGTCTTGGAAAATAAGTTTTTCACACAAAAATGTCATATTAACCTATGTTTGTTATTAATATTTTGAAGTGACTTAATAAACATTTCTCAAATTTGTCTTAATTTCGAATACAGTAAGTATCTATAGATGTAACCCACATAAACAGAATCACTTTGGACTTCTTGATTTTTAAGAGTGTAAAGGTGTCCTGAGAGTAAAAAGTTTAAGAATCTCTGACATAAAGATTTCCCCCAAAAGTTGCTGCTTGTTCCCAACTTCCAAGAGATAATCTATAAAAACTGTCCTGTGATCAAATATATTTGGGAAATGTTATGCCTTTCTTGGAAATCAGAGAAATTAGAATAAACAAAATCAACTTTAACTCTGTTTCCTAAATGGATTTGACTAAGGACCCCCTCTTTCAAGCGCTCTGTCATCATTTTGGGGGCACACCTGGGAAACTCATGGATAAATCGCAAGGCCCTCTGTCAGTGCTCATAAATAGCATCTCTTACAACTTGGCCTCTGTCACGTGTGGACAGCAGAGAGTCCGAAGTTAACATCTCTGGCAACATGAAGAGTGATCCTTTTATAAATGTCAAGGCAACTGAGCAGGACAGATAGCCCCTTTATCTCTGTAAAGAGGTGAGCTGAGGGCAGGAACAGGCCCGGGACAAAGACTCCACTCAGGAGATAAATCTGGGTCTGTTCCATCCAAGACAGTCAATCGAGTCCCCATCGTTCTTCTCTACAGAACTGAGACACAGTCATTTTAGCCTGGACATTTTCCAAAGCAGATGGTACCACATGCTCGCTTCGGTCATAAAGAAATCTCAATCATGCTCACACAGAATGTTTGACTTTAAGTTATATAACTTCCTGGTGCCCTTTCCAAAAAAAAAAAAAAAAAGAAGTGGTCAAATGTACCACTCATGAGTCAACTTCTTTTACTGGATTGTGAACTGTAAGTCAATTAAATGTTAGAGAATGCCTACCAAAAATGTTGACTTTGGTTAGAACTATCAACCTTATGTCTTCTTGACAGTAATTACATAATTGGGCCAGCTGTCTGTCAAGAAAATTCCAGGTTCACAATAATAAAATTATGTCATCAGGCAGTTAATAGACAGCCTACAGTAATATGCAAGACATTCCAATATAAAAATGAAAAAGTGTGCCACTTCAGAAGCATATCATCTAGTAAGAGGCTAGACAGAGCAAAGGAAGAAGGAAGGAAGGAAAGGGAGGGAGGGAGGGAAGGAAGGAAAGGGAGGGAGGGAAGGAAGGAAAGAGGGAGGGAGGGAGGAAGGGAAAGAAGACAGGTTGAGCATTCCTAATCTGGAATCTGAAATGCTCCAAAATCCGAAACTTTTTGAGCACCAACATAACACAAGTGGAAAATTCCACACCTGACCTCATGTGATGGTTTTAGTCAATAGTTTGTTTTACGCATAAAATTATTTTAAAATATTGTATCAAATTGCCTTCAGGCTATGTGTATAAAGTATATGAAACATAAATAAATTTCATGTAGACTCGGGTGCCATCCTCAAAATGTCTCATCATATATATGCAAATATTCCAAAATCCAAGAAAATCTCAAGTCCAAAACACTTCTTTTCCCAAGCTTTTCTGGATAAGGGATACTCAACCTGTCTTCTCACCTTCATCTTTGCAGCACCTAGTGAGGTACCTGGTAGAGAATCACCATTCAATAATATTTGTCTTAACAAACTTGTTATTTGCCTCTAAAATGTTTACCTGAGTACAAAGAGATGAATCGCACACAGATATCTAGTCAAATATAATCTAGTCAAACTGTACTTCTCGGCACTATAATTTAACTGCTTTACGAAAGACGATTTACAAAAAGACACCACTGCAAAGTAGAAATAAATCATTTTAATGTTTATTTTTTCACTTCTATTAATTGATTATTGATTTCTACACAAGTGTATGCATCTAGTTTGACTTGCTTCATATTTATTTTCCAACATGGTGCAATCTTCAGCATGAGGTGCACGAAGTACCTTGTCCTCAAAGAGCTTTATCAACTTGAACATTTTCAAAGAGCTCTATAAGGCAGCTCAGCATGGCAGTCTTTTACTGAAATCTCTTATCTGGAAGATGGCAAAATAGACCTGGACCTTCCCGAGCCCACTGGTTGCTTGTATTCATATCACAGCTCGCTTGAGTAAGTGGTAACGACAGAATAATAAGCAGATTGCTCCAAACCCAGCTGGGTGAGATAGCTTCATTTTTGGAAAATCAACTGAATCATGAAAACCTTCCTAATGGTATAATTTGTTCCAGAGTTCTTTGGATACTTAAGAAGGGAAATATTAATCCTTGTGCACAGTCTTTTATTACAAACACTCTTATTTATGGTATTACGGAGTTTTCTTCTCCAGCCGTCATTCTCTGGTGAGGTGACTGACTATACCCCATGCAGGATTGAAAGCATGAAGAAATCTCCTTTCTTAATCAGAGCTGGTGACAGCCTTCTCATTTCCTGCCAAATGGATCAGACCACACTTTTAACCCTATGGAAAGACACAGGAACAAAAACAGGATTCATTTTTAAATGTCCTTCCACTTTCCTCCACCCCAAACAAACAAAACGACATCAGAATTGAGCTGTGCAATTTACAGTGTAGTTTGAGATGGTGCGAGCAGGCTGCCGGAACCCTGCCATTAAATGGCCAGGAAGCCATGGCAGCCATAAGGGACTTTTAAATGGCTCAGGAATTGTAGCCCATAATAGTAAGACCTACATCTGGCCTAGTTAAAAATAAACAAATAAAAAAGAATGTTGCCACAGATTATAAGAGGTTTGGTTAATAAATGAGAAACCTCTCATTCCTGGCTAACTTGAATCCTCTTAAAGGAACTAACCATTCCGTCATAAAGGAAGCTTTTTAGACCTTGTGCAAAGCAGAACCCCACATCAATTCAAATAGCTGACAAGTAAACACTATTTTCCCATGAGGGGAGTGTTTAAATAGGTGCTTGGTAAATAAGTCGGCCAAACAGCTATTCGTGTCTCATATCTAATCGCACACTTGTTAACATTTTTATGCCCACTTATAAAATGGAAAAGAGGAACCTGGCAAACATGCAAAAAGTATTCTGGAGTGAAATATTAGAATGAAGTCTTGGGTGGCATCTATAAATGGCAACCGTTGAGAAATAAATAGCAAAATCACAATCTTGTCTCTAAGCTAAAAGGCATTTTCCTACTCTCCATGCCAAGGCAAATACACACTAACCACACAACACAGTAGTACAAATGAGATACGGTTTTGATTTTTTTTTTTTCAGTTTACCTGGTGGCTGCACATCCTCTTGAACAATTCCAGCCCGATTTATGGCTTGCTCCCTCTCTGAGAAACACGAGAGAAACATCATTCTTTAGAAGTGGGGCTGGGAGAGAGACATCTTTGTATTTACATGGGACAATTAGAAAACAGTATTTATGAGTGCTGTTAAATTCAGATATGCTATTATGCAGAGCTTTTAGGTTGTGGAAGTTAGAGCCTATAATGCAAAAGAGATTGGGTATTTTCAAAAGAATAAAGGAATCCATACTTCAAAAGAAAAGCTCCCCAACTAACATCTTTTCTCTGTGATCTCAGCATTTTGGAAAGACAAGAAAACAACAACAAAAAAAGAACAATTTTGAAAGAACTGGTGGGTGTGATATCACGAGGGAAAAGCTGCTGAATTGGAGCAACAAGTACAATGAAGAAAACGATGTAGTTTATATGTCTAAAATGCACTTCACTGAAGGACTAGACTCAGAGCTAAATATGCTATGTTTTTGATAGGAAATAGAGCAGAAAATTAATCTTTGGGTGGGTGGCTTTGGTTTGGATAATTGAAGCTTCCCTAATTGATTGCAGGTGCCATGCCAATTAGTAAGCGCATTGTAGCGACAGCAACTAAGCCCGTCTCTTTGGAGATGTCCAACAGGCAAGGGCCAAGAGAAATTGGGCATTTCATATCTGTGGGCTTGAAGCACTCTGACACGTCTTTCTAAGTGGTTTAGAATAAACCCAAGGTCTGTGAAAACAAAGAGTTATTATTTTAAGTCTCTTGACAAACAAATGGCAGTTTTTCAGGAGAAAGTCTTAGAGCTGAAGGACATTTACAACTAAATTATAGTAACGAAATGTCGTAATCGGACCTTTGTTTTAATCAGGCTGATTATTTCTTTAAATCTACATTTAGTTCTTATTTAGTATCAGGCCATTTTCTTTACTCTGGCCTCTGGATTCTCATAAAGTTACACAAACATAAAGGTACAAGAAACAGGGTTTGGCCAAATCTAATATTCATTGAACTTGCTTCTCTAGTCATGTGACAGACAGAAAGTCAATCCTAAATGACCGACCTGATAGTTTTATCAATACTAAGTTTTGCTGTGGCAAATAAAACACTGGACAACGGGGATTATGGGAATCCTGATATCCAAGTCTAAGGGGGATGGAGAGAACACATAGGATACTCAGGCCTATTACAGGCAACAAGTGGCCTGATGGTTTCACTGTTCCTCTCTGAAAAAGAGCGGGTAAATGGCAACCAAGATTCTCTCAAGATATATCAAAAGATTTCTTCCATCTAGAGTGGATATTATGGAGCCTCTAAAATGTTAGACTTCCTGAAATAACAACACAAAAGGTGTCCTCATTTCTGAAGACATTAAATCATTGTAGAACTGAGCCCCACCACCCTACAGATATGTAAGTCTCAGAGCATGGATGTCTTGAACATGCTCTTGGAAGATGCCAACATGTAAAAGCCCACAGTCATCAGCCTTGCCAGGAACAAAAATAGAAATAATTTTCTATAACTAAAAGGTCTATTTTCTGATACTATGGAAGAGGGAAGATTTGAGTATTTTTTTTTTTTTTTTAGATTTGAGTTTTAAAAAATAATTATCAGAAAGCATTCTAGACTTAGAGATTTAATAAAATCAGACATCCTGGTGTACCAAACACGTTCTCCAGAGGCAGGTACTGCAAAGCAAAAGAAGCTGGCAGACTGCCAAGCATCAAAGGAAGCTGACTTTTGGTGGCAAGGACAGAATGCCTAATTGTGTTCTAACCTCTTATGATGCAATGGAGAACCAAGTGAAGAGAAAGAAATCCCTGTCTTCACACTTTCTTGCTAATTGCTAATGAGGCTGAAGCAAGGCTGAAGATTTATTTTAAATAGACCATAATCTCTTTATAATCCTTGTCCTAATGCAACCACCTCTGTAGTTTGGCTTGGTCAGGAAATTTAAACCACTTTGCTGAGCCAGTTCCTACCAAATGATAACCAGGTATTAGCGTCCTATCTACATCCCCTGGTTCTTTAATCCATTAATGTTTTATAAATACTCTAAAGCCAAAGCAGTCTTATGTAAATTCATGATATAACACAAAGACACTTTATTTGTGAATGCAGAATACGCTAAAAGGAAAACGGAAACTAGTCCCTCACGATTTAGCAGTGCATCTTGATTGAGGTTGACAGTAAGTTTCTATTTCCCCATCTTTAGAAAACAGCAAATGTATATAAACCTCAGGAAAAGGGTAATGGCAGAAGTCAGGGGTTTAACTATGTAAACAAATCAGGATAAACGTATTACCAACTTCACTAGTGAGTACATTTCTATCAGCAGAGAAATGATTTAAACCCAACTATGGCACACTGGGTAAAAAAACTCCCCACTCCAGAGTCTCAGCAAGCCCGACTCTGCCCCCTGGTGCTAAGGCAGTGGTGTGATTTGTAATTTTAATTGAGGATGTTATCTCTAGTCCAGGGGCCAAAGTGTAATATTAAAACTAGTAATACATGCAGACTGGCTGATTTTTTTTTGTACGGTAGTAAAAGAATCTACCTAATAATGTTTAAGTCTTTGAAAACAAAAACATATCCTTATATTAAATGTCCACACCGGGAAATATATTGACTGTGTGACTTGTTACTTGAACATTCACAACAATGCAACTACTGCAGGATACCCGAGCCCCAATTCCCTCAGCAGTCTCAGGATTACTGGTTGAGGGTGCTCTAGTGGAGGATCAGCAGATAGAAACCTAAAATAAAAAAGCAAATGAAAGCTGGTGCAGTGTATGACCTTGGGAACCTACCTCCCCATTTCCTCCTGCCAATAAATAGTTAAAATAAAAGCAATTCCACAGGGCGCAGTGGCTCACACCTGTAATCCTAGCACTTTAGGAGGCCGAGGCGGGCGGATCACCTGAGGTCAAGAGTTCAAGACCAGCCTAGCCAACATAACGAAACCCTATCTCTACTGAAAATACAAAAATTAGCCAGGCATGGTGGCAGGTGCCCACAATCCCAGCTACTTGGGAGGCTGAGGCAGGAGAATCACTTGAACCTGGGGGGCGGCTGTTGCAGTGAGCTGAGATCGCGCCACTGCACTCCCGCCTGGGTGAAAGAGCAAAACTCTGTCTCAAAAAAGAAAAATAAATAAATGAAATAAATAAAATAAAATAAAAGCAACTCACAATTTGAATTGTGACAAATGGCAAAATTTGAACGTGGGCTGTATATTCCATACAAGTTGAATATATTCCCTTATCTGAAATTGGTTGGGAACAGAATTGGTTTGGATTTAGGATTTTTTTCAGATTTTGGAATATTCGCATATATATATAACAAGGTATCTTGGGGATGGGATCCAAGTCTAAACATTAACTTCGTTTGTTTCATATACATCTTATAGACATAGACTGAAGATAATTTTATACAACGTTTTTAATAATTTTGTGCATGAAACTAAATTTATATTAAGTACTTATGTGTGGAATTTTCTACTTGTGTCATTTTGGAGCTCAAAAAATTTCAGATTTTGGGGCATTTTCCGTTTTCAGATTAGAAATGCTCAAACTGTAACAGCACTGCATCAATGTAAAATTTCCTAGATTGGAAAACCGTATTGTGATTATGTAAGAGAATGTCCTCGTTCTTCAGAAATGCAGGCTGAAGTGTTTAGGAATGAAAGCTCCCAACGTCTTCAACCTACTCTCAAATGGTTCAGCAAAATAACAGTAATAATTATAATATATAGAAATAGAACTGTATCTGTATATATCTATATATGTTATATATGGGGGAGAAAGCAAATGTGGCAAAATGTTAACAACTGGTAAATCAAGGTGAAGGACAATATAGGAATTTACTGCACTGTTCTTGGATCTTTCGTCAGTTTGAGATTCTTTTATTTATTTATTTATTTATTTTGAGATGGAGTCTTGCTCTGTCACCCAGGCTGGAGTACAGTGGCATGATCTCGGCTCACTGCAACGTCTGCCTCCCAGGTTCAAGTGATTCTGCTGCCTCAGCCTCCCCAAGTTTGAGTTTCTTTTTTAACTAACAAAAACCACATAACTGTACAACACGCATAGGAAAGTCCAACACCATTTTGACTCTTCCATGGTGATTATTTCAAAGAAGCGATCTTTTAAAAAGTAGCAAAGATAAAATTGTTTTCAAAAGTTTTCAGGGCAGCCATGTTGCTGCTGGTACCTAGACACAGACGCCATCTGCCTCTGGGGTATTCCAGAACTGGAGGTTCACTGGTGGCGAGTGGGAACCAGGGGCCCAGGGGAAGCCATATGACCGCAGAAGCAAGTGTGACGAGAAAGAACCTGGGACTGAGGGGGAAACCAAATGACCACAGGAGCGAGTGGGACCCAGTTGGCTGAAGGGGACCAAGTGGGCACTTGAAGCACTGCACTCCTCCCAACAGTGTCAACAGGTCTGTTTCCTCACCGGAGCCTGCTTGAATCCAGGGAACTGTGTAATGCCAGTTAGAAAACAAGACCAGGTCAGCCTGTGCATTTCATTCAATTATATGGGGAAAGGACTGAAAAGCATATTCTAAGTGCCTGGCGTGTCATAGGGAAAATGTTCTTACAAGGTAAGCATTCTTTCTGCATCCGGTGATTTCTAGTACCCTGTGCTGCCTAGAGCATCCTTTCGGGCCGGAGCAGCAAGGTGCAGCAGAAATCAGCAGGACCGAGAAGCAGCAGCACTGAGGCCTCATAGCTCTCCCCTGTGGCCTTTCACTTGGCTGGCTGTTGAACATTCTTCACTGTCTCAAGGCATCGTGAGGCAGGGCATTAAGTACAGGCAAGGTCAAGGGAGTTAGGGTCTAGTGTCCCCCCAGCAACGAATGTGCTGAGTAACCTTGGACAAGTCACTAAATGAGAGGATGGAAATGAGCTCAAACCCCTTCTGGCAAAACCCTATGATTTTATGCTTCTGAACATCCAATTAAAATTTCAAATGAACAAGATCACAGAAAATATCTTATTCTGTCTAATTTCACAGGCTGGCCTCAAATGCATGCTATTTGTAAAAGGCC